GTGCTTTGCTTGTGGAATGCGTATACACAATGTTAGCATGCAGACCACCGATTCACGTTGGGTTAGCCTTTCTTCTCATTTCATCTAAAAATAGCCATCTGGCACTGTTTACTGTTAAAATCCGTTCCACTGCGATGTATTTACGCTCATCCAGCGGATATGAAGTTAGTATAACACTCCAAAAACAGCAAAATAAGTGGAAAATGAAAAACTGACCAGCTAATACACGTGAACGAGCGTTATCAGTATACCATTGGCGCGTGAGCGTCGATTTGATTGTATAAAGACTGTCGGAACTGGTGCACCTAAAGAATATGCCAGTAGTGTATGTGTATGTGTGTGTGTATGTGTGTGTGTGTGTGTGTGTGCGTGTGCGTGTATGTCGATGTAAATGTATAAAGATTGCTTCATTCCGATGTTACATGCATTGTGAGGTCTTCGTCAGCGCTTGAAGAACACGTGAAACTCACTAATTTTCCACCATTTAATAAAAAAGAACAATTAATTGTCCTAACCAGAAGTATTGCATTTGTGCAGAGTTAGCCAAAGTTGTGGAGGAAAAAGTATAGATGATAGCTGTGGGATTTAGAAGATTTTAGGCTTTTTCACTACAGCTACAGGTAAACTTGCTGGGGGCATGGGACTTATATATCAGACTTTGCTAGGATTATTTTGGAATTTTTGCCTCATATCCAAAGAGATAATTTGGTGCCAGGGCGCTGGATCGTTCTCCACTCGTGGGATGCATTTTCAGACGGTTGGATACGTACAACCACAAGATGGTGCAAATATGTTCAAGAAACTAGAAATCAACGGTTTGTCAGTGTACTGGAATTGTGGACAAGAAGTCACCGACGACATAAGCAGCTACATGGACTTGCAGGTTATCTCATGCAATCAAGAGATTTTTCAGTCCAGGAGTCCTTACCACCGAAACTTCCACTAATAACATGTACAGTGTTAACGAAGTGAAACTGCCCAACTGTCATAGTCGGGTTGTCTTTTGGTACCAGTTGGTTGGTTAACCTAAATCTATATCGCCCGCGCTGGAACGAACGACATGACAGTTTCTTTTCAGCCAAAGCTTTGAAGCTATAAACTTTGCCCTTGTTTGTTACCTTCTGGGAGATTGCAAATCAGCACGGAGATGGAGATCTTCTATTCAAATTTATGAAGAAAAAACTCGTCGGTCGTATATGAATGTCCAAAACTAAGGGCAACTCATTTAAGTCTTGCCAATTTTACCAGTGCTTCGGAGCAGCCGAATTTACATAGATCATAGAACTTTGCACAGTACGTCTTGCGCACGGATTTGTTAAAATTGTGTAATTTCAGTACAAGATGGCACCAGAGATCAGTAAAGACTGCGTGTGCATACTCCATCCTTTCAGTGCACACTTGTTTATGGAGCGGAACACGAGCAAATTTCCACTCAAAATACACCCGTATATCCCGAGATTCAAGGTACGCATATTTTTGATTGTATGGTGTATTGTCGTCACGAAAATCCTGGTGTTTTCCGGACGGAGTTGTATTCAGAGCAGTTTTGGGGCTTCCACTAGCATTACTGACTGCAGTTGCTTTTTACTCATTATTGTTTTTTGTTCTCATTGCTATTATTTTTACTATTCTTGTCATTTTTCTTATTACTTTCATCATTACCTTTTATAATTATAATTATTGTTATTATCATCGTTATTTTTATCATCATTACTGTTGCTGTTATTATAATTATTATCTTGTGCCATTATCATTATTGTTATTATTGTCACTTCCATTAAATCGGGAAGTCCGTGCCAGTCTCTTCAGTACCCAGAGGCGAGGCATGGTAGGTACTTACTGGAGCTATGCAGTTCAGTACGGAAGAGCTTCCTATAACTGTATGCTTGTGTTCCCCGGGAAGTGGGAGGGGGAGGCGGAGGTGGGCGCGGGGGGGGGG